TTCAGTGGCCAAGTATGTCTCCTGATCTGAACCCAATCAAACACCTGTGAGGAATTCTGAAGAGACAGGTTAAGCATCACTCTCCATCCAGCATCCAGGTTCTTAAAGAGGTCGTTCTTGAAGAATGGAAAAAGATCGATGTTGCAATATGTCGCCAAATCATGGAGGTCATACAAAATTCTAGATGTAATAGTTTTTTGTTGTGGGGTGTATTCATTTTTTTTGCATCAACTAATTTGAGTAAAACTGAAGATTTTGTAATCTAAGTTAGATTATTAACCTTACTTTAATGTAATGAGCTAAACAAATGTTCTATAAAACTCAATTTTGTCAACATTTTTGAAATTGTTCTTGTGTTCATTGAGATATTGATTAAAATCTTACTTTTCAAAAGGGGTGTACTCATTTATGCTGAGCACTGTATATTGGTGCCTAAAATCCCAATCTTTTCCTCTGACTTTTTTGATGGTATTCAGCAGCTTTAATTAACCAGTGGCCTTAGGCCTAACTCACTTTGGCACTCCTGTGTTTAGTTTTTCTAAACGCAGAAGTAATATGAAAAGTATAAGGCATGATACACACTGGGCAATTAGCATGGGACTCCAGCATTTATCTAGGCACCGGCACACAGTCCAGCCCTGCTGCCATGAGACGCTGAAAGCTGCTGCAGCTGGAGGGGAGTTGGATTGTCCTCTCACTTTCTGTTTTGGTTTTGGGACATTAAGTGAAGGGAAATCTCCCCAATGGGACACAGTTGGTAAAAAATAACAGGGGTTATAATTTTCCTTTACTTTATCCAAAACAAACAAAACAAGTTCTGCCTTTAGTTCTACTTTAAGTGCAGTAACCTATTGTGACCATTTGGAATCCATCATACACTGTTATGACTTTTGCAAAGTTAAAGCAGATATATCTCCCAACAATTTAAGTTATATATTCATTTCCACTTTGTATTTCAATTATTTGTAGCCTACACCTATTACTCTTAATGATCTGATTTTGTTTATTTTATTTTTTTTTATCCAAATTTTATTTTTTAATCCAAATTGTTTATTTTTACCAAATAAATGTAGCAGGCTACATTATGGCCTAAATGTATGAAGAAAGATTATTTATTTTCAAACTTTTATAACAGAAACTAAGAAAAACATATTTAAAAAAAATTCATTTATATAACATAAAAAATTAAATACCACTAATACAAAGCTCTATTTGTGTGGAAAAAAATATAAATGTCATTTGGGTACAGTGTTGCATGACCATGCAATTGCCAGTGAAAGTAGCCCGGTGCTGAATAGTAAAAAATGCCCTGGTCATGATGGAGATAAAACCTTCTGGAGGTCAAGTGGTTAAAGTGTATGCTGCGACTTTAGATTTCCTTTAAGCTCATCAAATGTGTTACATCATGGATGTACAATCTCCTTTAGATCTATGTATGTAGTAGAAGGGCTTGCCTGCCATATTGAGGGGATAGTTTAGGTAGGTCCTCACAGTACAAAGTTTTGGTGGGTCTAAGGTTGATGGCACAGTCAGACTATAATACGTATGGTGACCTTTAGAGACGTTTCCCCTCAGTTACTGTCCCAGCGACAATAGTTTCAGACAGATAAAATCTGCAATATACACACAGGCAGCAATAAAAGGCTGACAGGTGTTCTGGCCTTCTACTACTCTACTGACAAAAAGTGATTTTATTTCTTTTTTTTCTTGTTTTGCTGTTTGCAGGTCTGGGTTTACATCACAGGAGCGTAAAGGTATGGAAAATCCACCAACCCACCCACAACTATGCCACACCTCAGGCCACACTCTTGTCATGCTATTTACATTTTTGTATCTGTGATAGATACTGTATGTCAGGTTGGGGAAAAATCTCTTATCTGGCTGGCTCTGAACCTTGCTAGGGAGTACTCACTTCTGCTTTCTCATGTCTTCCTGGGAAAGAGCCTAATGGTCAACTACAAACACACACAGATTGCTGAGGGCACAATGCGAGGGCTGTATGTACAGTAGAGGAGTGCAGATGGTCTGAAGATGGGCAATATGTGCAGGAAAGGAGTCTGGAAAATATAACAGTCAACAGCAGGCATAATGCACAGAACAGGTATGCAAAGGACATGAGTGCAGGCAGAATGTGCAGGAGAGGAGTACAGAGGACATGACATGGGGCAGTATGTACAAGTGAGGAGTTCAGAGGACATGACAGCAGGCAGAATGTGCAGGAGAGGATTACAGAGGATATGACATGGAGCAGTATGGACAAGTGAGGAGTGCAGAAGACATGACTGCAGGCGGAATGTGCAGGAGAGGAGTACAGATGACATGACGGCAGGCAGAATGTGCACGAGAGGAGTGCAGGAGACATGACTGCAGGTGGAATGTGCAGAAGAGGAGTGCAGAAGACATGACGGCAGGCAGAATGCGCAGAGAGAGAAGTGCAGAAGACATGACTGCAGGCAGAATGTGCAGGAGAGAAGTGCAGAAGACATTACTGCAGGCAGAATGTGCAGGAGAGAAGTGCAGAAGACATGACTGCAGGTGGAATGCGCAGGAGAGGAGTGCAGAAGACATGACGGCAGGCAGAATGTGCAGGGGGGAGAAGTGCAGAAGACATGACTGCAGGTGGAATGTGCAGGAGAGGAGTGCAGAAGACATGACGGCAGGCAGAATGCGCAGGAGAGAAGTGCAGAAGACATGACTGCAGGCAGAATGTGCAGGAGAAGAGTGCAGAAGACATGACTGCAGGCACAATGCGCAGGAGAGAAGTGCAGAAGACATGACTGCAGGTGGAATGTGCAAGGGAGAAGTGCAGAAGACATGGCTGCAGGCGGAATGTGCAGGAGAGAAGTGCAGAGACATGGCTGCAGGCGGAATGTGCAGGAGAGAAGTGCAGAAGACATGACTGCAGGTGGAATGTGCAGGAGAGAAGTGCAGAAGACATGACTGCAGGTGGAATGTGCAGGAGAGAAGTGCAGAAGAGACATGACTGCAGGTGGAATGTGCAGGAGAGAAGTGCAGAACACATGACTGCAGGTGGAATGTGCAGGAGAGAGGTGCAGAAGACATGACTGCAGGTGGAATGTGCAGGAGAGAAGTGCAGAAGACATGACTGCAGGTGGAATGTGCAGGAGAGAAGTGCAGAAGACATGACTGCAGGTGGAATGTGCAGGAGAGGAGTGCAGAAGACATGACTGCAGGTGAATGTGCAGGAGAGAAGTGCAGAAGACATGACTGCAGGTGGAATATGCAGGGAGAGAAGTGCAGAAGACATGACTGCAGGCGGAATGTGCAGGAGAGAAGTGCAGAAGACATGACTGCAGGCGGAATGTGCAGGAGAGAAGTGCAGAAGACATGACTGCAGGTGGAATGTGCAGGAGAGGAGTGCAGAAGACATGACTGCAGGTGGAATGTGCAGGAGAGGAGTGCAGAAGACATGATGCAGGCAGAATGTGCAGGAGAGAGGTGCAGAAGACATTACTGCAGGCGGAATCTGCAGGGGAGAAGTGCAGAAGACATGACGGCAGGCAGAATGTGAAGGAGAGAGGTGCAGAAAACATGACGGCAGACAGAATGTGCAGGAGAGAGGTGCAGAAGACATGACTGCAGGCGGAATCTGCAGGAGAGGAGTGCAGAAGACATGATGGCAGGGTGCAGAAGAATATGCAGGAAAAGAGAGTGCAGAAGACATGACTGCAGGCAGAATGTGCAGGAGAAGAGTGCAGAAAACATGATGGCAGACAGAATGTGCAGGAGAGGAGTGCAGATGACATGATGGCAGACAGAATGAGCAGGAGATGAGTGCAGAAAATATGACGGCAGGCAGTATGCGCAGGAGAGGAGTGCAGGGGTATGACAGCAGGCAGAATGTGCAGTGGAGGAGTGTAGAGGACATGACGGCAAGCAGAATGTAAAGGAATGGAGTGCAGAGGGTATGGCATTGGGCATTATGTACAAGTGAGGAGTTTAAGGGGTATGAGGAGGATCAAGAGTGTCCAAAGTGGGTCTATATGTGCAGGAGAGATATAGGGAGGCATAGCAGTAAGCAGTATTTGCAGGAGAGTGCAGAGAGTATGACAACAGGCAGCAAATGTAGGAGAGAAGTGTGGAGAGTATTACAGCAGACAGTATGTGCAAGAGAGGAGTGTGGAGAGTCTGATATGTGGCAGTAAGTAGCAAGTGCAGGAGAGGAGTGTGGAGGGTATGATGGGGGACAGTATGTAAAGGAGAGGGATATGCAGGGTGTAACATGGGACAGTATCTGCAGGAGAGGAGTGCAGAGGGGTAGACAGTATAGAATGAGGAGGAGTACAGATGGTCTGACATGAGGCAGTAGGTGCATGTGGAGTGTGCAAAGGGCCTTAGAGAGGGTAGCATTAGTTTTTCTGTGGTTGACAAGTATTCTTTATACAAACATAATCTATTAGACCCCTGATGCCTCCCGCGGGGTATTTAGATACAGGTTGAGAACAGTGAGGCCCCGATCTGAATCTTAGCCAGCTCACTCAGTCACTGGCAAACTGAAGGTAAGAACCTTGAAGTTCTCAGAGGAGATCTGTGAATGGGATTTCACAGATCTTTTCCACTCGGCGCTCACTGTAGAATGGCTGTCAAATTGACAGCCCAGTCTTGCAGGTAACACTGGAACAATGGCTGCCCATTGTATTGTACAGGGCTGACCTATTACTTTGACAGCTGCCCTGCAGTCTATGGAGTGGACAGAGAAGAGTCATGGGGAGAGTAAGCTTCACTCCCAATGCTGAGCAGGGAGCACTGTGCTCTGGAGCTGTGTGAGCTGGCCCTACAGATGCTGAAGTGCAGGGAGCTATGGGCACAGCTGGGATGGAGCTCTAGGGACTACAGCGGTGACCTCCTCCAGACCTGACTTCGGGGGGTGCAGGAGGGTCAAAATTATACCTGGTCCCAGATATTTAAGGCAACCCTGTCCATCTGGCACCTATAGGCACATAACAGCTAATGGCAAGTCCAGCTTTGGTGGTGGAAGAACCGTAGCCTCCCTGGAGGTATTCCCGTGTGTAGCTCGGGGTAAAGTTTCAGTACCACAGCTACCGAGCTACACTCGGGCTTACCATGCAGTGCTTCTCCGGGATCCCTTGATCACTTACCTTGTCCTGCTCTCCCGCGATGTCCCTCCTGCAGTGTCAGCGGCAATGTAATCTGGCGGATGCCGGCATCTGTCATCTGGGTTCCGTCCCCTGCGAGCGTCGGAACGTACGGGGGACGGAACTTCGGGAAATTTGAAAATGACAAAAAGTGACATTCACTAAAATCACATAGTAAAACATTACTGTATCAAATCATTTCACATACATTTTGTCCCGAGTGCTTTGTCCTGTGCCCTGCCTGCATTTTTACTCTTCTTTCTGCCTGGAAACTGAGAAACGTCCATGGCGTCCAAAAAGCATCCCTTTAGGTCAAAATCGGTTTTAGACCAGCTAGAGAACAGTGATAGTAAATCAGAACCACTTGCAGAATTGAGTGATAATGATTCGTGGGGAAATTCGTCATCAGACACTGAAAACAATTTTGTGACTTTGCTCAGTGATGTGCGAACTTGGCGCTATATTTCAAATTTCAGTGTTTTTGGTTTGATTATATTATTGAATTAAATTTATTATTATTATATTATTTTTTATGATTATTTATTAAATTATAATTTATGATTTTGTGTTTCAAGTTTTATCCTACCCGGGATGTTTACTAGACTCTTGTTCGGGCAGATTTCAGTGAGTTATTCCTAAAAATTTCAGGCCTACAATAAAAAAAATACATATTTCCATGCAAAAAAAAATGTACCGCTTTGAGCACAGAAATATGGACATAATCAGACTGCTAGGGAGGTTAATCACTTCCTGTCTAGTGAAACTGTTGTCACTTGGACAGGAAGTGAGAGCACATCTCCTTAACGGAGCTCCAGATAGCAGTAAAAATAGCGGTTTAACCCTTCCTCTCTCTATTCAAACTAAAAATACATTTTGAGTTGACATACAGTTTGAGCTCTCATGATTGCTTGTTTGTATTTGCTGTGGTTTTAATTGTATACAAATTAACAACATAGCTCACAATGTAGACGATCATTAAAGTGAATTTTTTAGTAACTTTACTGCTCTGCATGAATACATTTATGAAGTCGCAATATACTGCCACAATATGCATTTTCAAAAAAAAAGCTGCATCATTTTTTAGTAACATGGTGTCCTTGGTTTCCAATGATGTAATTTTGCCAAGCCTGAGACAATGGGGTTGCTATATTAAAACTGGATAGTACAAAATCTGGTGCAGCTGTGCATGGTAGCCAATCAACTTCTAACTTCAGCTGGTTTATTTAAGCATTTAAAAAACAAACTGAAAGCTGATTGGTTTCTATGCAGAGCTGCACCAGATTTTGCACTCAACAGTTTTAGTAAATCAACGCCAATGCCATCATTCTAATCCAGGCTGGAAGAAACATTTCCTCAGTTTCCTCTCCTAAGACTGCACAATTGAAACTTTGCAGCAAGACACAAATTGAGAGGCTGCAACAGGGGCTGATCTGTGTCAGACATTTTTGAACACAGCCACCAAGATTTACAAGATTGTGTCATCTTTTAACAAGCATCTTGGTCCTGGAAGTACATACTGATCTTGGATGATGTCTGAAGAAAGATGGATCTGTCTTTTTGGAGAAGAAAGGCAGATGAAGACATTGTCAGGAGTTTTACTGTGATCTCTCCGAGAGGTTATAAATACCTGTGTTATACTTACACAATATTTAAACACTTATCAGATGCTATATCTATTTTATTTGTTTCCTGAAAGTGTCTTATTTCCAGTACAATTTCTACTAAAGCCCTGTTGTCTACAGCAGTGGTCTCCAAACTGTGGCCCATGAGCCAAATGTGACCCTTTGCCTGCCTCTATCCAGCTCTCAGGGTACTATTTCTCCCACTGACATCAACAAGGAGGCACCATTTCTTCTACTGGCACCAACTATGGGGAATTTTTCCTTCCCCTGACACCAATGATGGGGCACAATTCCTCCCACTGATATAAACAATCAGGTACTGTTCCTCCAACTGATACCAAGGATGGGGCACTATTCCTCCAACTGATACCAATGATGGGGCACTATTCATCCCATTGATACCAATGATGGGGCACTATTCCTCCCATTGATACCAATGATGGGGCACTATTCCTCCCATTGATACCAATGATGGGGCACTATTCCTCCCATTGATACCAATGATGGGGCACTATTCCTCCCATTGATACCAATGTTAGGACACTATTCATCCCACTAATACCAATGATGGGCACTATTCCTCCCATTGATAACAATGATGGGGCACTATTCATCCCACTGATACCAATGATGGGACACTATTCCTCCCCTTGACACCAACAATGGGGCACTATTCATCCCACTGATACCAATGATGGGGCACTATTCTTTCCTCTGATACCAATGATGGGGCACTATTCATCCCACTGACACAATGATGGGGCACTATTCATCCCACTGATACCAATGATGGGGCACTATTCTTTCCTCTGATACCAATGATGGGGCACTATTCATCCCACTGATACTAATAATGGGGCACTTTTCCTCCCACTGACATCAATGATGGGGCACTAATCATCCCACTGATACCAATGATGGGGCACTATTCTTTCCTCTGATACCAATGATGGGGCACAATTCCTCCACTGACATCAATGATGGGGCACTAATCATCCCACTGATACCAATGATGGGGCACTATTCTTTCCTCTGATATCAATGATGGGGCACTATTCATCCCACTGATACCAATGATGGGGCACTATTCATCCCACTGATACCAATGATGGGGCACTATTCCTCCCACTGACATCAATGATGGGGCACTAATCATCCCACTGAAATCAATGATGGGGCACTATTCCTCCCCCTGACACCAATGATGGGGCACTAGTCCTCCCACTGACATCAATGATGGGGCACTGTTCCTCCTAAATAACAATAAAGGTCAGAGGCTCCAACAATAATTGGTATCACCAATTTAAACAGTAATTTGTCCAATAACCATAAAAGCCAACAAAGAAAAAAATGTGAATAGAGAATTCACAGAAAAAAAGCAGTTACATAAAGGACAAGCGATACTTGAATAATTTTGAAAAATATGCTTTATTAGCACAATTTCACATGAAAAATACTCAAGTGAGAGCTGCGGTCAACCATCACTTCCATGAAGACATAACACAAAACAATCTTAAACATATAGATAAAACAAAAGGACATCATAGCAGGCCTGAAATAATGCTGTGCTGCTGGATCAATGACATATGAGTCTTTTGAATCAGCAGCAGAAGCACAATGGGGTGCACCACCGTGGCGGGAAATGGACATTTAAAAATGCAAACTGGCTATATATCAATCATCACAATAGCATATACAGAACGCCAATATATTGGACATAAGCCCTTCTTAATGGCCAGCGGAGCAGGACTGGAGTTACCATATAGCACAGAATACTCATTCCTCCCCCTGACCCCAATGATGAGGCACTATTCCTCCCACTGACCCCAATGATGGGGGCACTATTCCTCCCACTGACACAAATGATGGGGCACTATTTATCCCACTGACACCAATGAAGGGGCAATATTCCTCCCACTAATACCATTGATGGGGCACTGTTACTCCAACTAATACCAATGACTGGACAGTATTCCTCCTATTCCCCACCTTCCACTGACTACAAGCACTATGTCATTTTTTTTTACTCCTACTGTCGCTGGGACTTTTTCTACTCCCACCGGCCACTCCGGCCCTCCTAAAGTCTAAAATACAGTAAACCAGCCCTTTGATTAGAAAGTTTGGAGACCCCTGATCTACACTGATACAGAGAGACCAGTAACTTCAACCAGGCTACCACAAAGAAGGCTCTTATTGGCATTACAATGTACAGTATATTCTTGGAACAAGAGTTTATTGTAATGATCATCCAGAAGTTGAAATGTCTGGGTGCCATATTTGTCTATGGATCACTTTAACTGAAAATGATTACAGAAAACTACATTGCAAGGCTCTATCACACCAGCCTGCAAACTAAAATGTGTACACGCTGGTGTATGTTCTGTGAGGGTGGTGAGGGATGGTGTGGAATACTTTTATAATGCATTGTGGGTTTCTTCTGGGTACTCCGGTTTCCTCCCACACTCCAAAGAATGCTGGTAGGTTAATTGGATCCTGTCTAAATTGGCCCTAATATGTGTATGTATGAATGTAAGTTAGGGACCTTAGATTGTACACCCCTTGAGGGTTAGGGACTGATGTGAATGTACAATATATACAGTTGTGTTCAAAATAATAGCAGTCAGACATCACTAACCTGATCAATCACTGTTTTTGGTAGAAATGATATTCCTACATGGCAAAAAATTTACTAGCAGGTGTCGTAGAGTAATGGAAATCCAACAGACCCAACAGTCATGACATGCGTGCTGCTGATTCTGTGTAATTGAATCACTAATTGAAAGGGGCATGTTCAAAATAATAGCAGTGTGGAGTTCTATTAGTGAGGTCATTCATTCTTTGAAAAACAGGTGGCAATTGTTGCCCTTATTTAAGGAAGGAAGGCAGCAAATGTTGTACATGCTGGTTACAGTGCATTTCTGTCTGAAATTCTGAGGAAAATGGGTCGTTCCAGACATTGTTCAGAAGAAGAGCGTACCTTGATTATAAAGTTGATTGGAGAGGGGAAAACATATAAAGAAGTGCAGAAAATGATAGGCTGCTCAGCTAAAATGATCGCAAATGCTTTAAAATGACAACCAAAACCTGAAAGATGTGAAAGAAAGCGAAAAACTACCATTCGAATGGATAGAAGAATTGTAAGCCGTGTACCGGGGTGGGCTCCCCAGGATACAGCGAAGTCACGAACGAGGAAAGCAACCCCAACACCAGCTTTTGCCACAACAGAATTTTACTTAGATGTGGCAAATAAACACAACCACAAATGCTGGAAACATACAATAAATTTACATACACCCAGCCCAAAGGCTGAGACCCTTGTGCTGCACAGCCTTTTGATGGATGAAGGTAGAAAGTGTAGTAATTTACCTACTGGCGGGCACAACTAAGCTGCCACACCTTACCCGTTATTACCCTAAAAGAGCAAGAATCAGTGTATGGGTGTATGGTATAGGCTAGCCTGCGGTGCAGCACAACAGCTTACAATCTTACACAACTCTACAGTATTCCCCCTCCCATAACTGGTCCTGTAGCACATGCCTGAGTATTCCTTCTGAGCAAAACGCCAGTCTGGCTTGAATATGTGGGATT